CAATAGGAATACAATCATCAAACTTAACGTTTTTTAGCCATTGTTCTGAGTAAAATGTTGCAACACTATGTATAATTCACATTAGGTCTACACTTCCTGCCTATCTAAGTTTTAGGAACAACAAATAATAATTTGACTTCTAGTTGATCATTTGGTATCAGAAGTGGCTTATATGAAAGACCTCTAGATTACGCTTATTTTACCAAAATAAAATATGATCATGCTTTGATTTTTAACTATTCAATTAGGACAGTAAGGTCTGACTTTGCTTAGACAAAAGACTTGTTAATTAACAAAAATAATGTCCAGTACAGAATATAAAGTCCTGCTGCAGTGGAAAAATAGTTAATATTGTGTATGACACCATCATGAGCTTGAATGACTGCATCCACACATCTCTGCAATGACTCTTCTCATCATCTGGAATAGCAAAGAAAGTGTTCTTGCAGGACTCCCAGAATTCATCAAGATTCTTTGGATTCATGTTTAATGCCTCCTCCTTCATCTTACTCCAGACATACTCAATAATGTTCATGTCTGGTGACTGAGCTGGCCAATCCTGGAGCACCTTGACCTTTTTTGCTTTCAGGAACAGTGATGTGGAGGCTGTAGTATGAGAAGGAGCGCTACCCTGCCGAAGAATTTCCTGTGGTTTGTAATGTAATAGGCAGCACAAATGTCTTGATACCTCAGGCTGTTGATGTTTCCATCCACTCAACAGATCTCTAACACGCCCCTATACTGAATGTAACCCCAAACCATGATTTTTCCTTCACCAAACTTGACTGATTTCTGTGTGAATCTTGCGTCCATGCTGGTTCCAGTAGGTCTTCTGCAGTATTAGTGATGATTGGGATGCAGTTCAACAGATGATTCATCTGAAAAATCTACCTTCTGCCACTTTTCCAAATGATTAACTAGAAGTCAGGCAATTATTTCTTGCTCGTACAACTGACGACAAGAATTTTGTCAGGTAGTGTGGTTCTAATGAGAAAACTACGTACTTTTTGTTGCATTTAAAGTTCACTAGCAACTCTACAAAATCAAGTGTGAGAAATAGAGATTAGATTTTGTACTAGTTAAAGAATAGTCTGAATGCTGAGTTCTCCTCAGTCTGGTTGAAGACATCATTATGTTGGCTTGAGAAAGCCAACATACTGTTATACTACTCTGTCCTTGAAAACAAACGTATCTCCTCCTAGGCCGTTCATGCCACAAGGCCCAAATGTGGTCAAAATGTGCCGCCTTCATTCAAGATTGTTGCTATATCTCCTCATGCCAGTAAGACTTATTGTTTTTTTTAATAAAAAATGTTAAATATTAAATTTTTATAATCCGAGCATATAAAAAAATTATACAAGCCCCAAATTTGGCCAAAAGCTGTATTTAGATGCGGTAGATTTTGTTGCTATATCTTTAAGGTTTATCAGAACTAAGCATTATTTTTCTCAAAATATGGCAAGCCATTTTTGACTTAAACTCCATATTTTTTTACTGATATGGCAAACCATTTTTGACTTAAACTCCATATTTTTTACTGATATGGCAAGCCATTTTTGACTTAAACTCCATATTTTTTTACTGATATGGCAAGCCATTTTTGACTTAAACTCCATATTTTTACTGATATGGCAAGCCATTTTTGACTTAAACTCCATATTTTTACTGATATGGCAAGCCATGTTTGACTTAAACTCCATATTTTTTTACTGATATGGCAAGCCATTTTTAACTTAAACTCCATATTTTTTTACTGATATGGCAAGCCATTTTTGACTTAAACTCCATATTTTTACTGATATGGCAAGCCATGTTTGACTTAAACTCCATATTTTTTACTGATATGGCAAGCCATTTTTAACTTAAACTCCATATTTTTTTACTGATATGGCAAGCCATTTTTGACTTAAACTCCATATTTTTACTGATATGGCAAGCCATTTTTGACTTAAACTCCATATTTTTTTACTGATATGGCAAGCCATTTTTGACTTAAACTCCATATTTTTTTACTGATATGGCAAGCCATTTTTGACTTAAACTCCATATTTTTTTACTGATATGGCAAGCCATTTTTGACATAAACTCCATATTTTTACTGATATGGCAAGCCATTTTGACTTAAACTCCATATTTTTTTACTGATATGGCAAGCCATTTTGACTTAAACTCCATATTTTTTACTGATATGGCAAGCCATTTTTGACTTAAACTCCATATTTTTTTTACTGATATGGCAAGCCATTTTTGACTTAAACTCCATATTTTTTTACTGATATGGCAAGCCATTTTTGACTTAAACTCCATATTTTTTTACTGATATGGCAAGCCATTTTTGACATAAACTCCATATTTTTACTGATATGGAAAGCCATTTTTGACTTGAACTTCATATTTTTATTGATATGGCAAGCCATTTTTGACTTGAACTCCATATTTTTTATTGATATGGCAAGCCATTTTTGCATGCATCACCTTCACACTTATTAAGCATTGTATTTTCAAAAAAATACGGCAAGCCATTTTTACATAATGTTCATACCCTTAGTCTCTTTATTAATCAGGGGTCGCCACAACGGAATGAACCGCCAACTTATCCAGCATTTGTTTTACCCAGCGAATGCCCTTCCAGCCGCTTTAAAATATTGTAAGCACTTTTATAACAGAATGCCTTTTATTTTAATGCTACAGGTTAGATTTTTTTTAATTATTGAAAGATCATGTACATTTTAGTTCAGTTGCATTTACGTTGATTAAACTATGATATGATGGGATGACCTTTGCCTTAACCCCCACAAACTGATAGGTGTGAACTAAATGACCCTTTTACAATCTCAATGGGTACTAGCAAAACAACAGCCACTCAAGAACGGTTAAGCCAAATACAGCAAAATCTAACATTAAGTAGGAGTTTCTGAATTTTATTATGGTTCATGAATGAATCATTAACAATAAAATAAACCTGTTTGCTATGTTTGTAATTTCATGCATTTTTAAAATCACAATTTTTTAACAGATTCATCTGAAGACTATGCCAACATCAACCTATCGTCTCCTGACTGGCCTGGATCAGCCTGTGTTCCTTTAGTAGGCAGTTCCTCTCAGGTTCTCACATGCAAAAAAAAACACTGCCAGAAAATGTAGAAAAGTACATATATTTAAGCAGATTAATACAATTGGAACAGTGTAAAATGGTATAGTTATCATGGACCTCCATTTTAAAGCTCTATATTTAACTGCTGGTTTGTATGTGTATTGTTTTTGCTTTGCTGCTGACCCAAGGTGCCTAAAACAAGCCTTGTGTTTGAATGACTATGCATTAGAGTCTAGCCAAAATGAGTCTCCCAGCACTTCTGCAATAGATATTTGTATTTCATCCTGTTTGAAGCGTTTACATGCTCTTTATCGAGCTAAAGACTTCGTGCCTGGAAAATGAACGGACCCTGATCATGCCAGGGTTTGTTTTTAGCTACAGACATGATAGAGGTATATTTTAATAACTGCTGTATGAGATGTATATTAAAGATACATAAAGACATTTCTCTTGACTTGTGTGCTTATTAGTTTAAGGATGTTGGTACAAGTTTAAACACTATGCTAAGAGGTATTTTTATCTTGTTTTTCTTGAAATTATAAGCAGGATATCCGTGGGGACTTGAAAAGCCCCTATTATGGGTTTTTGAAAATGACCCAAAAATATATACACACACACACACACACACACACACACACACACACAAATTATATGTACATTTAAATATGCAACTAGTGTAGTGTTTTTATCACATTTACATAATAAATATATAATATACTCCCAGAGATGGGTTGCGGCTGGAAGGGCATCCGCTGCGTAAAAACTTGCTGGATAAGTTGGCGGTTCATTCCGCTGTGGCGACCCCGGATTAATAATGGACTAAGCCAACAAGAAAATTAATTAATTAATGAATGAATATATAATATACACACAAATATATTATTTTAAAACAAGCTTTTATTTTTGGTGTGATTAATCTTTGCCCAGCCCTATATGCTTCTATCTTTGCTTTTCATTTTTTCAACAATAAAAATTGTCATTATTTACAAACATTAATGTTTTTCCGAATCTGTATTAATTTATTACATAATGCTGAATACAGGAGACTTTTCAGATAACCCTCCAAAATGTGTTGATCTCCTAATGACTTCAATAATATTTTATTTGAATATATAATGTTATATTTAAATTAATATATTTTCAAATAATACATATTCAATTATTAATTTACATCTCCTTGTGTTCTTTTAATATTTTATTGTATAATGTTTTTTAATGTACAGTGCTTAGCATAACTGAGTACAGCCCATTATAAGAATTAATATTTTTATAAATTTCTCAGTGAATATAGGCAACGTATTTTTGGTGCGTTTAAACAAAACAGATTTATTAAACAGATATATTTAAGAAAATATTATTTTAGTCACCAAACATGTTTAGAAATTGGAAGATAATACAATTAAATTAAAGCAAAATATTGCAAAACAAATTACAACCTACAAAATTTCAACTAAATTTTTCCATTTCTTTGCTTCTCTTGATATTTCATCTTTTTAAAAATTGTATTTAAATTTTTTCTATATCATAAATTTGGCTGTACTAGTTTTTAGACAGTTATCATAAGTTATTTTGTTAGATAAGCTACAGATTTGGCTTCAGTGCTGACTCATCTAATGTACATGCACAAATAATATTGTATCTTTCTATTACAAATATTAATTTAAAAGATAGATTTGTGAGGGGTGTATTAATATATGCTGAGCTCTGTACATTATAATATGATACACAAATTCACGAGTATGATCACATTTCCAGAAAGCCTCACGGTACAGGTCCGGAAATTGCGCAGGTTTTATGTAAAGGCTAAATGGGCGGGCGCTACATGAAAACAAATGAAATGATTGGCTGCATGTCACCAGCGTGACGCTCTCGATTGGTTTCCAGCTCAATGTGGTCTTAATGTTTTGAATGGAAGTCCCGCCTATGCTGGCGTTTCCTCAAAGTGATCTTGTAACACCGGTATCGCGGACGGAAAGACTGCAGACCGGCTGTTTCCATGAGCCAAAGGAAGTTTTGGTTGAAACGAAAGGTAACCGAATTCAATGTCTAATTACTGTGCTGTTTAAAGACATTAAACGCGAACGTTTGAGTTACAGTAGCCTCCCGTAGCTGTGTGTGTGTCATTCGACATGTTATGTATGACCTGCAGTGAATGGTTCATTACATATTAATGACATTTTATTATATACAATACACTTGGAATATACTGTAATATAGTGTACTGGTGGGGAAAACGCTCTAAAACATAAATATTTAGTGTGTACTGAACTAAATGTAGCCTTGTTATTAAATATAATAACCTGTAATGAGCGTTTGTCAGGTTTGTTTGTCAATAAACACATGTGAGTTATTTAGGCAACTTAATGAGTGTTTAATTAATCACAATGTAGGCTATTTTTGTTACTTATATATTTGTCTTACACAAGCTTGTGCTGTATTTTTCTTCGCCCATTTTGCTGGAGATTTATTCCTCCTGACTCTGTTAAGCCAATTAGTCTAATGAGGATTGCAATAACAAGAAGAGACAGTCAAAGCTGAAGACATCATGTCTTTCAACTTTCCACTTATTCATTCATTGATTTTTGGGTGGCAGTTCACAAAAATTTTAAATGTCTTGCTGTTTTCTATCCGATAACATATAACACAGCTGCAACATTTGATAACATACACAAGTGGTCAAAGTTTGGGGTCAGTAGGATTTTTAAATGTTTTGAAATAAGCTTCTCCTGCTCACCAAGGCTGCGTTTATTAAGTTGTAAAATTGTGAAATATTATTGCACTATAGAATAACTGTTCAAATGTAGTTTATAATTTAATTTAATAATTTATTCCAGTGATTTTAAGGACAATTTTTCAGCGCCATTACACCAGTCTTTACATGATCTTCACTGAGTCACATGATTCTTCAGAAATCACTCTAGTATTAATTATTATCATTAATTATAATATTAATGTTTTTAATGGTAATAGTATTAAAGCAATAATGACTGGAGCACTACTTTCATTTGAAACTACATTCAATAACATAGCAGTTATTTAAAATTTTAACAGAGATTGAACAATTTAAGGCAGCACAGCGGCGCAGTGGGTACCACAATTGCCTCACAGCAAGAAGGACGCTGGTTCAAGCCCCGGCTGGGTCAGTTGGTATTTCTGCGTGGAGTCTGCATGTTCTCCCTGTGCTTGCGTGGCTTTCCTCCGGGTGCTCCGGTTTCCCCCACAAGTCCAAAAGCATGTGTTATAGGTGAATTCGGTTAGCTAAATTGTTTGTAGGCGATGAGTGTGTATGGATGTTTTCCAGTGATTGGTTGCAGCTGGAAGGGCATCCACTGTGTAAAACATATGCTGGATAAGTTAGTGGTTCATTCCGCTGTGGCGACCCCAGATTAATAAAGGGACTAAGCTGAAAAGTAAATGAATGAATGAATGAATGAGTTTCACAATCTTTTTACATTTAATATATGCCGCCTTGATGAACAGAATATTTTTTTCTTTAAAAAAAAAACCTAAAAAAAAAAAAAAAAACTGACCCCAAACTTTTGCCCGGTAGTGTACATTAGGAAATCAGAATTGCATAAAATGTTAAATGTTTCTCTCTTTTTTAAAAATGCAAATGTTATTTAGATTTATAAGTCTGGTAATTAGAGTTTGACTATGGAAGTTTTTTTTCTTAAGAAAATGAAAATGCAACTGCTTAAAAAGATCAAATAATAAATCAAACTCTCAAAACAGCTACTGAAATGAGAAATCAAATGCTCAAATGTATTTGATATTTAATTCTAATGATCAACTCAGTATGAACCTGTTCTCATTAGATAATCAATCAAATACTCAAACTTGATATTGAGGAAAAAGCCCCAATCAGATTTTCTGTTTTCAGATGTCTCTGTTTTCCCCCATCCACGCTAACACGGAGCAGCAGCAGTTTAAAATGAAAACTGCTTCTTCAGCGTTTCCAAAAAGCTCAGTTTTCGGCACTTGAAAACTCCGCCGTAGTGTGGACAGATGGCGTAAGCGTAGCAAAACTTTAGCGTTTTAAAAGTAAAAGGTATTAGTGTAAAAAGAGCCTGAGAAACATGATTTGCTGTTAGTTGTTTGTTTTCACACTTTACTTCTTCCAAATTACAAGTGTAAAATGTCACTATACCTGGTGGCAGGCCCGGATTGGCTAATCGGGAGGACTGGGAGAATTCCCGAAGGGCTGGTCTGTTTTCTTTTAGGCCGCAAGGGCTGGTGTCACTAGCTGCTTGCACTCTCAGCAGTCGAACTTTTTTCATTTATTTATTTATTTATTTATTTGACCATAGCCTCACTCGTTTTATTCATTATTTTGAAGCAGCTCTGCTCTTTTTTTTTTATTTTTTCGCAGCCCTGTGAACAAAATGCAGTCTAAAGGTCAATGATGAACAAACTATCATTCAACCCCAAACAGTGGCACCTTAGTGAAAATAAGAGATTGAATAATTAATATTAATGAATATCACACCTGCTCAATGAAAATCAGATGATTCACTACATTAATAAGTCTGACATAACTTGATCAGAAATCTAAAAAGGGGAGAAAAGATTAATTCATCAATAGAAAGTAATACTGTGGTCAAAAGAGTCTTGCAGATAACAGTGCAATACTTTTTTTTTTTTTTCCAAATTCAGCTGCAAAACACGGCATTGTGGTCCAGTGGTCAGCACGTTGCGTTACGAAGTCACTGACCCGAGTTCGAACCTTACCTGAGTAATTATTATTATTATTATTATTATTTTATTTTATTTTTTTTTTTTTAGTGTTAAGACATATAACACTCTTTGGGTTACTTATATAGGTGTACATATTTTATTTTTATTCTTTATCTATAAAGAATTTTGCACAGAAAATATATTCAGGAAAGGACAAAATGAAAATGCAAATGCTTAAAGAGATCAAATAATAAATCAAACTCTCAAAACAGCTACTCAAATGAGAAATCAAATGCTCAAATGTATTTGATATTTAATTTTAATGATCAACTCAGTATAAACCTGTTATCATTAAATAATGAATCAAATACTCAAACGGACACCGCAAATAAAAAAAAAACTTCCATATTTGATAGCCTCTTGTTATCAATAACTTAAGAACTTAAGTCTTTCACAGATGGATAAAAAGGTGTTATTTACCCGAAGGATTTTAAGATAAGATTGAGAAATAATAGTTTCTCAGTGTTGGGTTGCAGCTGGAAGGGCATCCGCTGTGTAAAACATATGCTGTATAAGTTGGCGGTTCATTCCACTGTGGCGACCCCTGATTAACAAAGGGACTTAGCCGAAAAAGAAAATGAATGAATGCATGAGAAATAATATCATTATATTTGCATGCTGTATTTTTTTTTATAAATATAGGTTTCCTCCATTGCCATGGCTGTATAGTCCTGTAGTGTCTGTCATGGCCATTGGAACGCAGCTCTACCTGCTGCTGTGGAAAAACTTCACGTACCGCAGGAGGAACAAGGTGCTGTGTCTTAACTGCAGCCACAGTATTTAGACCCTTTTTCAAACACTCTACATTCATTAATTTAGTTATGTATGTTTTTTTTTTACAGGTCCAACTTGTTGTTGAACTTCTATGGCCACTCTTCCTCTTCCTCATCCTCATTGCTGTCCGCCAATCACACCCACCGTACAAACAGAGCCAGTGTAAGTGACATCCTATGAGCGTGAGTGTTGCTCTCCCCTCTTGGCAGGTGGCTGGACATCTAAGCTGATTAGCTGTAGTGAAAATCAGGACGTTGTTGAGCTCTTGTGACATTGTTTATACTGAATCATGACCTTTGCTAACGGTTAATCCATGCTAGTACACAGAAACATTTGTTCTAGTAATCGTAACTCAGAATCGGAAATCTGAAAAGTTTAATTTACTCTGGAATGGTGTTTGTGGTGTGAACTTGAGATGGCAATGATGCACGCTAAAAATCAAGCCCTGCTCATATTTTCCTACTTTTTTTCAGTTAGAAATGTGCCACAATTCTGAATTAAAGTTGGTTGTTGCTTTTTTTTCTCACAGATTTATTCTGAAAGGTTAACATGCCCTTAATCACACAATAGCTTAAGTTCAATTTCATCTGTTTATCGAGCACATTTAAAAACAATCACAAGACTCTGTCCCCTAAAAGAAGATTTTGATCACTCAATCTAAGAGATCTCACAGCTTTTATTCTCTACTTATTATAGCCATATAGAGTTTATATAGAGTTATGGTTGTATTATACTTTATATAGTTTGGTTATATAGACTAAAAAGAAGATTCAGTCCCTTTAGCAACATCCCACATAGCAAAATTTCTCTGGCCCAGCTCTGGCCCACACAATCAGGTTTTGCTTGGCCCACATGCCGCAGTGAATTACGGTACATGACTGGACCAAATCTGGCTTCCAGACAAGGGCCAAACACAGACCATATCTGGGCCAAGTCTCAGCCAAGTTAATAACTCATAACTGGGCCTGAACTGGGCCAGAAAGATTGGTGTGTCACGATTGCAATGAAATTGATAAACCCATGGAGTGATGCGCTTTAGGCATACTATGCGCACGCTTTTTTTCAAAGTGACCTGATTGGTAGAATTTTTTTTCTTTACTCAAAAATGATTTTAGTGTATTTTAAATGTGGGTCAAGACTGGCCAAACTCACATGGCCCACTTATCACATTTTAAAATCTGAGCCAAATACTACGTTTTTCATCTGGCCCAAATCTTGTGTGCCGCCTTAAAAACGGTGCCACCTCTGCCAAACCCGGGCCATGTTTGGCCCACATGCTGTATGCCAGTGCCGGATGAATGCCTGCTGTGCCAGCTTTATGCCAAATCTGGGCCAGAATTCTTTGCTACTAGGGATGTCAACTTAATGAATCTATCGTAGCAAGTAGCAAAGAACCAGTCAGTCTGCGCTGTCTTATATTTTTTCTTTTGAGAAACAGTTTAACTTGGATATACTGTAAGTGTTTCATCCTAGCTTTACAATTTTTGTCTGGCTGATACAGCAGTGTTTGTGGATTTGTTTACTGACTCTTTGTGTGGATTCAGCATCACAGAAACAGGTTACCTATTAATCATTTTGTTATGCAAAGAAATGTATTAAAGTACACATTTTTCATTCCTCTGTTAAACATGTTAACCATCATTAAATAATGCAAAAGAACTCTTTTGGAAGGTCTTCTTTATGACATTGTTAAAGGCGTCATCAGTTTAAGAAAACAACGTTTTTGGTATTTGTTATGTGTGCATTATTAGAAAATATACATTTATTATTTTCATTCATTTATTCATTTTCTTGTCAGCTTAGTCGCTTTATTGAGAAATCTCTGGGAAACATCCACACACACACAATCACACACTCATACACTACTGACAATTTAGCCTACCCAATTCACCTGTACCGCATGTCTTTGGACTGTGGGGGAAACCTGAGCACCCGGAGGAAACCCACGCGAATGCAGGGAGACATGCAACATGCAAACTCCAAACAGAAACACCAATTGCTGTGCAATTGCATTCTTGCTGTGAGGCGACAGCACTACCTACTGCACTATTGCCTCAACGCATTTATTATTTACTTAATATTAATATAAATCATTAATTTAATTGATATTATTTTTAATGTTTCACATTAAATGTTGCTGATCTTTTCTCTTTTTATGTTTTAGGTCATTTTCCTAACAAGGCGCTTCCTTCGGCTGGCACACTAGCATGGATTCAGGGCATTATATGCAATGTCAACAACCCCTGTTTTCATCAGCCTACAGCAGGGGAAACACCCGGGCTCGTGAGCAACTTCGACAACTCCATGTGAGAAGTCTTTTTGTTTTATCTCAGACAAATTTCTTTTTTTTAACTTCAGCCATTGATGGAGATTTATTTTGTTATTTTCAGACTTTCTCGACTTTTAGTCGATATGAGGACCGTCCTGACAATCAGTGGCAACCGAACAACCTTCTCTGGTCTTCAGGACCTGTCAAAGACAATCCAAAGACTCGGGGAAAGACCAGATGCCTGGCCAAGTATATATTCATTAAATATCTCATTTTAGAAGCTGAAAATGCTGTATCGGATGTGTTCAGTAGATTCAGTTAGTATCTCCTTAGCAAGCTCCTTGTACCTTGATGTTGTGTCTCACAGATAGATGAATTGAAGAACTTGGCTTAGTTTTCAGATAACCTCATGTGCCTCATCTAGAACCTCAATGTCTCAGTTTGTACAATACAATACAATACAATACAGTACAATACAATACAATACAATACAATACAATACAATACAATACAATACAATACAGTACAATACAATACAGTACAATACAGTACAGTACAGTACAATACAATACAATACAATACTATACAATACAATACAATACTATACAATACAATACTATACAGTACAGTACAATACAGTACAGTACAATACAATACTATACAATACAATACAATACTGTACAGTACAGTACAGTACAATACAATACAATACAGTACAATACAATACAGTACAGTACAATACAATACAATACAATACTATACAATACAATACAATACAATACAATACTATACAATACAATACAATACTATACAATACAATACTATACAATACAGTACAGTACAGTACAGTACAATACAATACAATACAATACAATACAATACAATACAGTACAATACAATACAATACAATACTATACAATACAATACTATACAATACAGTACAGTACAGTACAGTACAATACAATACAGTACAGTACAATACAATACAATACAATACAGTACAATACAATACAGTACAGTACAATACAATACAATACAGTACAATACAATACTATACAATACAATACAATACAATACTATACAGTACAGTACAGTACAGTACAATACAATACAATACTATACAATACAATACTATACAATACAGTACAGTACAGTACAGTACAATACAATACAGTACAATACAATACAATACAATACAATACAATACTATACAATACAATACTATACAAAACAATACAATACAATACAATACTATACAAAACAATACAATACAATACAATACAATACAATACAATACAATACAATACTATACAATACAATACAATACAATACAATACTATACAATACAATACTATACAAAACAATACAATACAATACAATACAATACTATACAATACAATACTATACAATACTATACAATACAATACAAAACTTATTTATGTGGCACATTTAAAAAATAGCCAAAGTGCTGTACACATGAGTAGTAAAAGGTAGAGTAGAAGATGAGATTAGAAAATAAAAAATGAAAATAAGCAAGACTAATTTATTAAGATTAATCAATAGAACCAATAATCAAGGATTATTAAAAGCGAGAGAAAATAGATAGGTCTTTGAAACAGATATAAACTCAGAAATAGAAGGGGATTGTCTAACATGAAGCTCTATAGTGTTTCAAAGTTTAGGGCCAGCAATTGCCAATGCTCGATCGCCTTATTTTTGTTAGCATGTTCTAGGCACTAAGTAAACTGAGATTGCACAGTTGCATCACACCAAGTAGCTCCTTGACCTGGCTCAACCAGGCTGCTTTTCTGTGTGGAGTTTGCATCTTCTCTCCGTGTTCACATAGATTTCTCTTACAGTCCAAAGACATGCCGTGTAGGTGAATTGGATGAACTAAATTAGCTGTAGTGTATGAGTGTGTGTATGTGTGTGTGTGTGTGAATGAGAGAGCATATGGGTGTTTCCCAGCACTGTGCTGGGTTGTGGCTGCAGGAGCATCTGCTGCCAGAGTAGTTGGCAGTTCATTCTGCTGTGTGGGCCCCTGATTATTCAGGGACTAAGTCGAAGGAAAATTAATGAATGAAAATTGGCTGGAAGGGTAAAACAGATGCAAGAGTAATTGACGGTTCATTCAGCTGTGGCAGACCCTGATAAAACAGAAGAGAATAAGCTGAAGGAAAATGAGGGAGCGCTCAATTCTTTTCCTCACTAGCCTGTCACCAAAAATATACTTTTTGTTGTCTGATATCTTGCCACAGATTTTAAGTGATACTATTGGCATTTTATATTTTTTATGTTACTGATTATAAAGATTATACGACAACATAATAATGCTAATAAGCAAGAGACAAAAACTTTTTATTACAAAGGTTATTAACATAAATATTATCATTAACTGTGATGTAAAATGTAAATAACCTTGTAAAATGGCTTTAATGTTACCAATGTGTGCCATTTTGAGCAGTCACTGTCACACCATTTGAACTGCAGCTTGAAACTTTTTCCAAACCATCATTAGTTTTCAGAAACGTGAAAATTAATCTCTTCCTACCTGTCAGTAAGCCTTGATGTCAAAATGTTATCAAAATAATTGAGGTCATGTTCATGTATTTTGTAATACATTTATTTATTGTGACAGGCCTTCCACTCTGTAATTGTGTTACTCTTATTTCTTTTATGACATTAGTTTATGATTTGAGCAGAATATATCAGAGACGGCGAGGATGAGCACTAGAATAAATCCTCATCCTCTATTCAATATACAGTACATTTCAGCTGGAAATGTATCACAAGGCTAAAGTCACTAGGAACTTCTGGTTCATGCTGGTTTAATGACCTTAAAGAATAGTTCACCCCAAAATTCTGCCATCGCTTACTCACCCTACACTTGTTCCAAACCTGTTTGAGTTTTTTCGTCTGTTGAACTTAAAATTTACAGGTTTTCAACATACTTCAAAATATCTTATTTTGAGTTTAACTAGAAAAAAACCCTTCAAAACAGCTTTAGTCAAGCTTGAGTAAATGATGGCCTGATTTTAAACTTTCCCTTCAATAGCAAAAATCCCTTTGTAAAAATAAGCATACAGCATTTTGAAAAGAATGTAAAATATCTTTGGTTTTTTGACACCTTTGTAGATCTTCCAGTGGGAGAGTATCTCAGAGCCAATGAAAGCTTCTCCTCTTACCTGCGGACAAACACTAGCATCCCCTCAGCATTTGTTGAGCAGTTACTGAGGGCACGACTGAACCTCCAAGTGGTAAGAAAGACACTGTTTTCACTTGCTGAAGTACTTATAATCCTCCACTGGTAGCCTAGACTTAATGTCCTGAATGATAATAGGCATTGTATTGTCTGCAGTAAATTTATGTGACTGAATGCAATTGTTTTACATCTATTTATTGCCCTGATGCTAAAAATGATCAAATATTTGAGTATTTATGGCGAGTTGAGTTGTTTTTTAGCTGTTTTAACATCTGATTCACACAACCATCAGCTCAGATTTGCCTACATAAATACTTTACTAATCTGTCAATTACAGCTAGCTATTAGTAAGCTCACAATTCTAGAAAAGTTAAATCACAAATCTCTTCAATAAGCCATATGATTTCATGTATGCCCTTTCGATTAATATTTGGGTGTGTGTTCAGCATTTGGGATGCTGATTCACCCCAAAATGAAATCATTTACACACACTCCACTTGATCCAAACCTGTTTGAGTTTATTTCTTACATTGAACAAACAAAGATATGTAGAAGAGTCCTGTAAACCAGTAGAGAGTGATGGAAAAAGAGTACTGTAAAATCATACTCAAGTATAAGTACCATTACTTGCCTAAAAATGCAAGTAGAGTAAAAGTATCTGTTGTAAGTCTTTACTGAAAGTACGAGTAAAAAGTAGACTTTTTAAAAGTACTCAAGAGAAGTGAGTAGTGAGTATTACGCTGTTAAAAGCTGATGCATTTACATGTCATTTGTGCATGTGTGTGTAAACGTAACATTCTGTAGTGCATTAATTATTACTCAGCAGGCACACAATGTGAAAAGACGTTAATATTAGGTTAGATTTAGGTTGTGATGTCAGGTGTCCAAAATTCTATGTCTAACCAGCGTCTAAGGAGAATGTTATTTTGGTGTCCAATAATGACATCAAATGATGTTGATATTTGGTCAATTTTAGGTTGTTAAAAAGTAACCAAAAAACAACGTCGAGCCAACACCTTAAACCAACGTCATATTGACGTCAAATACTGACGTTGATTTATCAGGTATAACAACCAAAATCTAACGTCTGATAGACGTCAAAGTGGTAACTTCTACACAATGTTAAGCTCTAACATCATTAGGCGTTGATATTTGGTTGCTTTTAGGTTGGATGTTAGACATTGATGTCAGCCAGACGTTGAGTTCTGATGTGAACTCGATTTTCATTTTCAAACAAAATGCAGCGTCGCCATGACGTTAGCGTACAAGGTTAATCTGATGTCATGTTGACGTCTTGTGCCTGCTGGATGTTTAAGGCCATTTCAGTCATCATACAGTAAACATCTGTCATCTTTTCATCAGTGACATGCATCTAAACAGTCTCTGGGTCAATGCATATAAAGATTTTGGACATCTTCTAGGACACTTTTAATGCTTCCAAACAGTTATAAAGCGCACATGTCTCAAGGTAGTATATTATGATGTGATTTACCTTTTGTGTGCAATTTGATTGGACAGGAATACAGGACTGATTTTTCTAATTCCCGTAGACAGGAAATAATAAGTAGTGACGGCCGGTTGAAGGAAAGTAGTGGAGTAAAAGTACCGATACAGCACTAAAAATGAACTCAAGGGCAAGTAAAAGTCCAAATTTATAAAACTACTTAGTAAATTACAATTCCTGAGAAAAACTACTCCATTACAGTAGTTTGAGTATTTGTAATTAGTTACTTTACACCACTGCCAGTAGCCATTCACTTCCATGGTATTTGTTTCTCCAATTATGAATGTCAATGATTAACAGTTTCCACCATTTTTTTTAAATATCTTTTTTTGGGGGGTCCAACAGAAAAAAAGAAACTCTTAAAGGATTGGAACAACCTTTGCTGAGTACATTTTTGGGGGGTGAATTATTAAGGTCAGCTTCAAATTAATATTTACCCTATAGTACAGGAGTGGCCAACCCTGTTCCTGGAGAGCCACCTTCCTGCAGATTTCAGTTGCTACCCATATCAAACACACCTGAACCAATTAATTAGGACCTGAACACCACGTGATAATTACAGGCAGGTGTGTTTGATATGGGTTGCAACTGAAATCTGCAGGAAGGTGGCTCTCCAGGAACAGGGTTGGCCACCCCTGCTATAGTATTTGTTTTCTAAAATGATGCTTGAATGCATCTAAAATGATGGTTAGGGTTGGTACAATTGGAAGTGGGGCAGGGCTTTTCAAAGGGTCAGTTTTTCAATAATTAGGTTTGATTAAATCTTACTCCGACTAGCTTGCATTCATTTCCCTTTTTTGAGCACAACCCTCTAAACTCAATTTCCAATCTAAAATTCAATTAACAAAACCAAGTCTCCACCATGCAATCTTCCGATTTAATGATTCATTATACTCACAATATGGAAGACTAGATCTGTCACTTCTTGTATTACATCATAGATGTGAACACACTGATCATTGTAGCATAGTAAGTTCTAAAGTTCTTTTTTTCTCAAGGTTACCTTAGCAGGAGAAGGAGTGCGTCTGTCTGACATTGTCTGTAATGCTTCACTCTTGAGCCGATACCTCACCGTTGAGGAAGGAGATTCTTTTCCTGAACTGCAGGGGGCGCTGTGTGTTGTGCCCTCAGATATTATGCAGAAGGCAGAGCAAATCTTCCTCTCACAGCTGGACTTCAGCAAGATTGTTACGGTTAGTGAGTTTACACTCTAATGTCCTGTGTTTATTTTGTTTAGTGTGGCGAGAGACTTTAAAGGGCACCTATGATGCAAAACCAACATCTGTAGGCAGAACTGTGTATAGGTATAGTGTGTCCTCTGTCATATTGCTATAAACACAAGTTTCTTTTTAAAATTTTCTGAAGTTGAAATAAGATAAAAAACCCAGTGATTTTGAGGCCAACTTCAACGTGACGAAGAGTGCGGTTTCCCCACCCACCAAATTGGTGAGGCCTGTATTAACATGTCTTCATAGTAACACATATGCACATTTCCACAGAACTTATTTTGCAAAGAAACTGGGATTAAAAGATCTGTTCAGCTCTCTGTGATCAGCTGCACCTCAAGAATGAGTTTTACAAGTTTAAAACATTTTAAAATCAGAGCATGTTGATAATAAAGACAGTAAAACTGCAATGTAATTCATAACTGCTAGAATCACCATTGCCACATATAGTGTCAGTAAACGCATATGTGTGTACTGCAAACTTTGGAACGGCATTTGTGTGACTCATCGTTTCAGAAAGGCTTGAATAAACTCCACCACAAATACATCAATTAACCTTACTTGGTATTTTTGACTATTGAGCTGGATGTCTGCTAGGGCTGAGCGATTAATTGAAAATCACAATCAGAACCTATAATGGATCTAATTTTTTCAGGTCAAATTTTTCAGTTACTTTCCCTACCATGTAAGGAGTCACTTGACCTGGCTCTCTTAAGGATGCTAAATACATCTGTGTCAAATGCACAGGCATGGCAGCCTTCACATGGTCACTTACCTGTGCACCTCTTAAAATGTAACGTTTGAACTACATTGACAATGATTGGAAGTTGCGGCAGAGATGCCTTGAGGTGGCATACTTTTTATTACAATAAAATTATTATTTACATTAAAATATTTGTTTACAGAAGATTCAAGAAATGCTGAAAATATTAAATGCAGAATATGCAGTTATTTTATTTAGAAGAGATACTACTTATTTTCTACTTTTGAAAACATTAAAATTAATAAATTTTGTTTCCAAAAGTCCAAGTTATTTGTTTTCACTTTTTAAAAGGAAAAAGTTTGTTTTAGACAATGTGTTTTAATTTCACTTGTTCAACGTTGATGTTCAATAACTGTCAGATATCAGAAACAGTAGACTGTGTGTGTTTCCTTCAATTATTTTTACATCAAGTAATGCACCCTTCATTCAAAAATCTGTCAATTGTAATATGTGAGCATATTTACTTTATAAAATTTCAGTGAACTATGGGGCAAAAAAAAAATCGTTCATTAATCATAATCAAGATTTTGATTTTAAGCCAAATCGCACAGCCCTATTTTCTTCTTCTTCCATGTCTGCCTCTGTCACTGACTGCTGTTTATCTGATGCAACACATGTGGGAACAGTAGGAGGAGAGAACCAGCTCATTTGCATCTAAAGGAGCTTATACTTTACAGACATTCTGGAGACACCAAAGGCTTGTCTTACATCTTGTAAAATGGGTCAAATAGGTGCCCATAAAATCATCCAAATCAGTTCATTCTCAGTGATTCACTATTTCACAGTGCTTCAGAGTACAGAATAATCTTGTAACGGTCTTTCCCTTAAATTATCTCTATGTGTTTGAGTTAGTTACTCTGTTTGGCTCACCTATCATTCTTTACATGCAAAATAATCATTTAGGTGATATGACGACAGTCCCTGATACAATTTGAAATAATCATCTAGTCCCTATCTGTATCGTCATCATTAACGTCTCTATTTCACTCATTTAATTGTGTCTTAATGTGTTTTTATTACTAATTTCAGAGAGACAGGCTGCAGGCAAATGCAGCTGATTTCCGGATCATCAGTCGGGCTGTGTCCTCTGCTTCTCAGGAACTGGCATCAATTATGGATGATGTAAGCAGTTTATAGATCTTTTAAAGTGTTAGCTGACCCAAATATAAAAGTTCTGTCAATAATTACTCACTCTTATGTCATTCCAAACTTCCGATACCTTTGTTCATCTTTAGAACCCAAAATCCGAGAACTCCCTTATCCTCCATAGACAGCAATAGTCCTGACTTGTTCAAAGTCCAGTGAAGTTTCGAAAAACCTCCTCAAAGCTGTTCATGTGGTTTCCGCATTTCAATCAGAGTTTTATTAAGCTACTAGAATACTTTTGTCTGCACATAAAGCAAAACAACAACAGTTTTTTCTCATCAGTGTCAGTATAGAGCAGTGGTCACCAAACTTGTTCCTGGAGGGCCGGTGTCCTGCAGATTTTAGCTCAAACCCTAATCAAACACACCTGAACAAGCTAATCAAGGTCTTACTAGGTATACTTGAAACATCCAGGCCGTTGTGTTGAGGCAAATTGGACCTAAACCCTACAGGGACACCGGCCCTCCAGGACCGAGATTAGTGACCCCTGGTATAGAGCATGTGTTCTACGGCTTTGTGTACTGAGGTGTACGTGTGTGACTTTAAAAGGGCTGTGTTTGGCGAATGTGAGGTATATGTCAGCAGGATGACAGAACGCGACACTCATAGTGAACACAGTGCTCTTGTGAAACATGCACCCTATACTAACACTGGGAAGAAGAAACTATTGAATGATGTCCTTGATTTTGTTTTATGTGTGCACATAAGTATTCTTAGAGCTTGATAATATTCCGATTTATCCATTGAAGACTTCTTGTCTTCAGTTGTAAGAGCAAGAAATAATCACTTGACTTCTAGTTGATCATTTGGAAAAGTGGCAGAAGGTAGATATTTCAGATAAAACATCTGTTAAACTGCATCCCAATCATCACAAATACTGCTGAAGACTTATTGGAACCAGCATGGACCCAAGATTCTTACAGAAATCAGTCAAGTTTGGTGAAGGAAAAATCATGGTTTGGGGTTACATTCAGAATAGGGACATGTGAGAGATCTGCAGAGTGAACTGCCAACTTGTCCGGAATAGGTTTTACACAGTGGATGCTCTTCCAGCTGCAACCCATCACTGGGAAGCATCCGTACACACTCAAACTATGGTCAATTTAGCTTACCCAATTCACCTGTACCGGATGTCTTTGGACTTGTGGGGGAAACCGCAGCACCCGTAGGAAACCCATGCGAACACGGGGAGAACATGCAAACTCCACACAAAAATGCCAATTGACCCAGCCGAGGCTTGAACCAGCGACCTTCTCGCTGTGAGGCATTTGTGCTACCCACTGGGCTAGCGTGACGCCCTTGATGAGGATTATACAAAATATGATGATGCAGGCATAATAAAAGTCAATTTTCACATCACACCAATCAATTTTATTCTATTTTTCCTCCTCAGATCTCTTCTCTGTCCAGTTTCTCAGAGCTGAACTCAGAGATAAGGCTTCTAACACCTGAAAACCGCTCGGTACTGCCACGCGAGAGCTTTCGAGCCTTCTCCAGAATCATGTGTGGACACCCAGAGGCAGGAGGAGAGAGAATCCCTTCATTCAACTGGTATGAAGATCAGGACATCAAATCTTTTCTGGGCAGAAACGCATCAGAGGAGACAAGTCTTGAAAATGACAACAGCACCAGTAAGATATCATTGCTTTATTAAAAGGTCAAAGCAGATTCCTGTTTGCCCCATATTTGTGCCATTAGTAGTAACTGTAACTATACCCTACCAACAGTTTTTTTTATCTTAATAATGCCTGATTTTTGTCCTTTAGCTTCATTCTGTGAAAACTTGATCCAAAATCTGGAGTCGAACCCTCTGTCACGGATTGTATGGCGTGGCATCAAACCACTGTTCATTGGAAAGCTGCTGTACACACCAGACACGCCAATCACTCGCACAATCATGTCAGAGGTACTGCCCCATTCTGCCATCCTCTTACTATAAATCCGATGGCTTCTGACCCTCTTTCTGTTCCTCCAGGTGAACAAAACCTTTCAGGACTTCGAGATTTTAAAGGATGTTCATGAAGCTTGGCAGGAGGTCGGACCCAGAATCAAAACGTTCATGGAGAGCAGTGTAGAAATTCGGCTTCTGCAGGATCTTCTGAGAAGGCCTGAGGTGGCTGTAATAGTGAACATGCGTCTGGAAAACACCTCTTGGACGGCCTCTCGTATTGCCCGGTTCCTCTCAACGCAGGACCCAGATACACCCCGTAAGGATGGAGCTCAGCTAACCTGGTTCGATCTGTACCAGGATTTAAACAACACCTTCACCACTCTCTCAGAGCTCACAAAGGTACTTGATTCATTCAACCTGTCTACAGGAGCATGGTGTAGGACAATGTTTCTCAACCATTTTTCTAGAGGACCACCAGCTCTGCACATTTTCCATGTCTCCTAAATCAAACATATATAATTCAGATTATCAGCTCATTAGCAGACTGAAAGACCTGTAATCGGTGTGAAAGACAAAAGAGACATCCAAAACATGCAGTGGTCCTCCAGAAACGTGGTTGAGAAACACTGGTGTAGGATGTACTTTATTTTTACATACACATGTGCATACTTGTCCTACACACTTAAAGAGATAGTTCACCTAAAACCCAAAAATTCTAATTTACTGACTATTTACTCAAGTGATTTCAAGTTTATTTTTGTTGAACACTACAGAAGATATTTTGAAGAATGTTAAAAATGGTAACTGTTGACATAAATACTATGGAACTTAATGGTTACCGATTTCTAGTATCTTCTTCTGTATTTCAACAGAAGAAAGTAACTTAAACAGATTTGAAACAAGGGTGAGGAAATGGAAACAGAATAGTTTTTTTTATTTTGGGGTGAACTGTCCTTTTAACACATACTTTTAAAGAGGTGGTCCAAAGTGTATTTTTAAGGCTTGGTTGTGTTTATAAGGTGCAAAGTAAAGTGTGCTCATGCTTCTTTTGTAGAAAAATCAAGTTATTTTTTATATGTCTTATTAGGCTGGCTTGAGAAACAAGCCAGACTACTGAAATCCTATTTAAACTTATTATTTTTTTTATATATTATTAGGCTGGCTTGTCAAAGCCAGACTACTGTTATCCTTTCTAAACTTATTATGTTGGCTTGAGAAAGCCAACATACTGTAATGCTACTTAAACTTATTCTTATTATTATTATTATTCCGGCTTCTGACCAAAAAAAAGCAATCGCTTCTCCTCCCAGGGCTTAGATGCTACAAGCCCCAAATTTGGTCAAAAGCTGTCTACTGCTCATGAGATGGTTGCTGTATGTCCTCATGCCGATAAGATTTGTAGTTTTTTAATTAACATTTTTTTTATTAAAAAATTGTATCGAGTATTTGGGGCATATAAAAAAGTATACAATCCTCAAATTTGGCCAAAAGATGTGTTTGAAATTACAGATAATTATCATATTTATTTGGTGTAATTATAAATAACAGTTTTCCTATAAATATTTTTTTTATATTAAATTTGTAAAATTCAGACTCAAAGCGTGTCAGAGTGTCCACGAGATGGCGCCAGAAGACTATTTTTGAGCCCTTTGTAATTTAGTACTGGCCCTTTAAGAGGCGGGGATATCCGGACTGACTGTTTTGAATCTACAGAAATTCGGGCTCATTTCAGACATGCTTGTTACAACATTTGAAGCTGAAATTGCGACCATTTTGGTCGCATATGCGCCTGAAAATTAATCTATGCGACCTCATAACATATTTGGGCGCATTAGTGCAACTGCTGATAATGGTTGTAGTGCGACCTGTTTTGATTTTTTGTAAAAACGTGCTGAATCGCTCTTCCCTGCCGCTATATTGGTTCATATTAGCTGTCAATCACTCAAGGTATTCCGCTGTCAGATGACAGGGAAGGAGCTTTTATGACCACGGGAAATGCAAACGGCTGAACAGTAAAAACTTAAAGCACACAGGTTTGCAAACCCCACCTAAAATTGAGGTGTAGATGAGAGAGATCGTGACCAATGACTGTAAAAAATATGGACGACGCGACAGCCCCTTTTGCCATTGAACGCCTTGAGGGCAAAACGCCTGCTTGACGGGCACAAACTGTCGCAAAAGACTGCTGAAATTGGAGCCAGACATGCGCAGAAGGACTGTCTGATGGAGCCAGAGGAGGAGCCGCGATAATGAGCGGAGTCGAGCTTCCAACCAAACGCTTTATGTAAAATCAAACACGCCCCCCGAACTTCTCACTCGACTGCCGGTGTCTGCACTATAACAAACGCTCACTGATGTAAATAGAAGCACTTACATTAAAAAACACAATAATATACGGTTTAAAAACGGTGTGATGTAAGCTGTTAAACTTTAATAAAAGCAATACATGGTGGACTGCAGAAATAAACGATCTTTTATACACTCTAGCCTGAATATGAGCACAAATAATATATTCTCTTATTGTTATATTTGTTGTTGGTATTTGTTATCTTCATAGGGGTAGAAATAACACTTGTAAAATATGAACAATAACATATAAACAACACATACATTTTTAGAAAGGTTTTTATTTTTAATTAGCCATCAACAGAACCCAAAATATAGCCTACACACCATAACGATTTACCATGCGGGAACAATCGTGCGTTTAGAAGATAAATACAGCAAGATTACTAAATATCAACAGGATATTTACACATCCCAACCCTGCAATTTGTCAATTTGTGCAAAAAAACTTTGCACTATTAATACAACGTCTATCTGCTGTAACATCACTAGTATATTGTTTATTCATTTTCGCTTGAATTGTTTATTTATTTAATTTTTTTTTGCCTCCGTTTTCATTTGGTTTATTCGATGCCTTCATTATATCTGGCAACGAGGAATTTACATTCTTTTTAATGTTGGCTGGAGTGTTCAAATAAAACGCCAACAGTAAATGATGTAAATAAATAATATCTAACATTTACAGCTCTATTAGGTTATATAAGATTCGATTTCAAGAACCTTATAATGATTTATAACAGCAAATTCAGTAGATCACTTAATAACATGCCAAAACTTAAAATGCAGAGACGTGCAAGTTCAAATAACCTTACAGGAGATCAACGTGGAGATTATTATTTAAACACAAAGAGAATTACTGCTAACGATCTCCTGTATACCCCGTACTTAAATGGGTTTATTTTATTGTGCAGTTTTATTGTCATTTTCGTATTTATTATTATTATTATTTAATACTTGTGCAATCGATACAGGTTTATTGTTATTTATTTTGTCCTTTATTTAAATAATTGCTATGCTGTTTGCATCTTTATTCAAAGGTTAAACTCAGTGATACACTTTGCGTTCACATAGTAGCATGCGTTTGTTGTTATATCAACAAAAATGAGTGTAATAACGTTAACAAATGTGAGGGTTTTATATAATGAAGATTCAATCGCGCCAGCTCCGGGCATCAGCGCATAACCTAGTCGCGGCGTCGCGGGCTGATTCCGGCTCGCATGCGGCAGCGCCTGCTCGCTCGGCCGCCGCATCTGGCTCAATTGACTCAGGCTGGAATCGGGCAGTGAGTCCAGGCATCCGGAGTAGGTCCAGCAGAGGTAGTCAGTCTGAGGGGTAAGTCTCCGGCAGGCAAGAACTGGCCCCAGTGTATTTTGCTATCTGGGTGGCTAGGCTAACTAATAAAGCCCGAAAAAAGCTCTGACCTTAGCGAATAAACAGTGTTCCACCAGATCATGTATGTCAGAAACTGTAGTTTACTGCTGAACTCATTTTGTCATAGTAAAATATCACAGAAATCGAGTAATAACACTTCAGTCTTCTGCCGAAGCTCAGACGCCGCGCTTTGAGAAACTGTCAATCACCGCTGTCAATGACGATGACACGCCCAGCATTAAATTACTGCTAAAAACAAACTGTTTACAAAAATGAGGATCTGCACCTATTTCAGCACAATAACCAGTGCCTTAATCGACCAGAACCATCTTTCGGGACATTTTATTGCAAGTGTAATTAATTTTTTTATTTGGGCTCAAGTCTCCTTCATTAACACGGAGGAGGCGGGCTTTATGACTTGTACTGCAGCCAGCCCCCAGGGGGCGATCTAACGGCCGAGACCTTCACTCAAACGCAGGCTTGCGGCACACTTGATCGTGACACGTCACGTGGTGAATAATGATCCACCAGCTGAGATCACTGAAACTGCGGCTCATAACAAAGACCAGTATTGCGCCGATGGTTAGTGCAAGAATCCTGCTCTGCCTGCTCATAAATTGGGTCGGCTGACTCGCCAGCTTTTCCACAAACACAGAAAAATGAAGATCATCTCAGACTGAACCTTTAAATTGACACAAACTGAAACCAAAACTTTTAAAGAGTGATAGAAGTGAGACTTTACTTTCTTTCTTTTGTCTATTCTTTTTTGAGGTGTATATTATTTTTTTATTTATTTACTGATGACTGCTTTGCAGCTTTCATCATTGAATTGAATTATTTATTATAATCTTTTGTTTGTTTTGTAGCAGAAAAATTATTTATTAAATTGACATGCATATAAAAACAGCAGTACAAAATCAATATTTCTTACTGCAATGCTTCATTTTTGTTTGATGCAAACTATACAATTATTTTATATAAAGTAACAGACATTTTATAGCAGATAACCTACATTCATGCACATTCAAGGCAGTATCATAATGAGAAATGGAATTCATTGTTACTATTATTGTCATTTTCATCATCACTAATATTCTATGGCCTAATTATTAGACATTCATTTTAGAATTATTGCACACAAATATCAATGTCTTCGCAGCATTAGTTAGATAGTTGTTTCTGGTTTTTGTCAGTCCTATTGATGTTGTTTTAAAATACAATAAATCCCTTAAAAAGCAATTTGCAGCGGTGCTCATTCATTTTTGGTGGGTGCTCCTAAATTTTTTCTGGTGCTCCTAAATTTATTTTGGTGCCCCTGAATATTTGAAGTTGGGAGCACCGGTGCTACCAAGTAAAAAAGTTAATTTCGAGCCCTGTATATATATATATATATATATATATATATATATATATATATATATATATATATATATATATATATATATATATATATATATATATATATATATTCATACAGTTGATGTCAGAATTATTAGCTCCCCTGTTTATTTTTTCCCCAATTTCTGTTTAATGGAGGGAAGATTGTTTCAGCACATTTCTAAGCATAATAGTTTTAATAACTCATTTCTAATAACTTCTTTATTTTATCTTTGCCATGATGACAGTAAATAATATTTGACTTGATATTTTTCAAGACACTTCTATACAGCTTAAAGTGACAT